CCATATACGACCCTCTGTTGGAGAATTTCCAACAACGATGTGCCCTGATTGCGGATCAAGCTGCCTTATGCAAGAAATTCTGCAAGTCGGCAAAAATCTAGACTGCGTACTGCAATTTTAACCAAGCAGTTAGTTTGTCCTCCTCATCATAGAAAGAACTATTATAGCACGTTAAGTCTAGCCCCAGACGCTCTTCCTTGGCTCTGTGTCGTATCGGAACTATGGAGTCTTGTTCGCTGCTGGGGCGTGTCAGAGGGAAGGGCTGGTTTGACGGCGCCAGCCCCTTCCGCTAGTTGCGGAAGCGAGGGAGCAGGTAGGCGACAATAATTGGTGAAGGACGACTGACACAAACGATGTATCACAGTCTTGTCGCTTGCCAAAAGGAAAAAAAAGAAGAAAAATAACAGGCTCGCGCCGCGCCGAACCTACATATGCCCTCTGACACACCCCATCATCCGCAGCGAACAAGACTGTACGCTACGGAGTGATTGCCAGGATTTGTCGGTTGCGAGTTTCGCTAAACGTTCATCTAAGCATACCTTGACGAGGTCGAATTCTCCAGAAGGAACATAATTAGTCAAGTCGATGTTATCACTTCGATTGGTGATGTCGACTTGAAACCCGTGGTAGGTCCACGAACCGAATTTTAACGAACATCGCTGCTCATCGAATGGAAACAGCGACACATCAACTGAAACAGCCAGATTATATGGCACAAAATCAAACTTGTGTGGTGAGCTTGGATCAGGATGTCTGAGTAGTGGCAGCGTGGCACTTGCATCAGGACATATCTAATCAACATAGAAGTAGTATAGTAAGCCCAGACAACTAGCAATAAAATATAGCGTGCTCAGAGTTAGTTTTAACGTGTCGCGGCTACTCAGGTGTCCTGACCCACGATCCATAGCTGTTGAACTAATAAAGAAATGAATTCAAAGGCCCAGTCCGGCTTGGAGGTGGCGTTGAGATGGTTTACACCAGCCACTGCCGAGTTCTCTTGCGAAGACCCAAATTTCCTGTAAGCTAAATACAAGCTTCCTACATCTGAAAATGTAAGTCTAACTAGGAACGTCGTCAGCTCGCAAGGGGCATTTGTGATGACATGAGATCACTAACGGTTTGAACCTGCATCTAATTCTGCCTGTGCCAAAATTGCAAAGCCGATCCTGAACGGATATGAAGCCAAGTTTTACCACCCAACAGTACATGGGATCGGAATCTCTCTAGCTAACTTTTATGCTTGTGCAAACGGCAAAAAATTGATTATTGCCGCCTCACGACTACTTCAAGTTCTTCACTGAGCTTGCTCTTAAGAAAATTTGCCTCCATACTGCGCTTGACTCCTTTAACTACCAGCCTCTACAAGGAGTCCAAGCGCATTAATAAATGGAGGCAAACTTTTCTTCAGACAAGCTCAGGTGAGAACTGAAGTAGTAGTGACGGCAAAATCACTTTTTGCCACGTTTGCGCAACAAGCAAAAAAGTTAAGCTCAGCAGGGATCCGATCCCATGACCTGTTGCGTGGTAAACGCGGCTCCGCTGCGCTTTGCAAATTTTGAAGGTAGATTCAAGACCAGCCCAAAACCACGTCTAGTGATCTACATCTCATTCACAAATGGCCACTTCGACCTGACGACCTTCCCTAGTAAGCAAGGTGAGACGTGTTTCTTAAGATGAAGTAGTGAAATAGAGTGCCGAACTAACAAAGTGTCGCCCCTCCCAAGACGAACTTGCCAGAATTAAACGTTAGGCTACCTTGCAGTACTGCGCAGTGCGTCGGTTGATGGCCAGAATACATTACCTGATATAAACCATCGCTCTCGAACGCATCTAACCAGCAGGTATCGTCACACTAAAACCACTATCAAATGTTCCGCTTCAACTTGGCCATTTAGGTCGAGTCAAATCTACCAACACGTGTCCGCAGTTGATGCCACTACCACCTTCCGGTGAGCATCGCACGCCATGAGAAAGGTATGGCACTCTAATAGTTCCGCCCAAACGAAGCGCCTTTGAAGACCAGGATTGCACAGAATCACGACTGAAGAAGCAGTACCCCAAAGATAAACAAAAAATGCGAAAAAGCAGGAAAGCAAATCCTAACGGAAATTCCGGCGAACAAATTCTATTAATTACCTTTTGATCGTCCATTTAAGTATGGAGAGTTAAGCGTAACACTGTGTCCTCCACACTTGATGTAATCCTAATTCTCAGGGTACGATGGAAGGAACATGTCCGGGCAGATAAAAAATAAAACAGAAGCCCGGCTCCGCCCAATATAATCGTAGCTGCTCTTCCGATCAATCCTATTTTATGAAAGGCCTATAACATACTTGTTATAGCAGAGCTATTCAGTAACCAGATCAAATCCAAGAATCCGCTAGTTGATGGATGCACCAAAGTCGTCCGATTCCATCGCAAACAACTCGTCGTTCCATCCTAAACGGGACAACTGCTACAGAGCTGATGGTCTTACAATCAATTTATCAAGTCTTCTTAGATCTGGATCTTGTAAAAAAGAGGAGGCGCAGTCCGGCCGCGGATAAGGGCATTTTTCATTTTTGCTACTTCCAGTCGTTTTTTTGTAGTCGTTTTTACAAAGGCGCAATGCGCCCCCATCTCTCCTGCAGCCGAAATGCGACCCCCCCCCCATCGCTGGGATCCCCAGCATACAAGAGGGAGGAATCTTCCAGCATTCTCGACTATCAACTCCCATGGCAACGAACCTGATCCAACCACACATTAATAGTGAGCACTTGATTTCGCTCGTCCATATCAAAGATGTTTGTCATTGTCATTCCTAGGCGAACAGTTACGGTGTGCGAAGCGTTCCGCACGGGACGAACTGCCTTCTCATAGTCTTTCATGAGGTGATACAGTAACCTGAAAGACCCGCCTTTAAAGAAACCAGCCAGTTCGGGAAAAGAGTACGAGAGTATACCTTTGCTCATCAGTGTATCGTCGTTCATCGGTAAGGTTCTCTTTGGGAACTGGAAAGTTGGATGACTCGGAGACGTTGAGAGGAATAGGGCGGACCAGCGCCATAAGTGAAAAGATGAACATGTGGGCACCTGAAAACTGTTCCGTACATGCGGTCCATATCTGGGAAAACAAGCGGAGTAGCTGCGAAAGCGAGGCTTCAGACGAAGGAGATGCAAAGAAGTATGATGCGGAGACCGAGCAGGTGAAAATAAGCCGTGGTCGAAACGGCTTTTTGCCCCTCCGAAATAGATTATACGCATTGCAAAGACATCAGTATAGTGCGCGTATCTGGAGATATGAACAATCTTGCTCGCTATGAGTACTAAATCTTGCTCGCTATGAGTACTAGAGTTAGAAAGCTGGGTTTGGCCAGTTCGTTTTCAGCCAACTTTTGTCGCTTACTTGCTTCAACAACTGGAGAGAACGGGTTGACTCGCCAAACCAAGCCGCCTCACACGCCCCAGCTCTACGGCGAACAACGCTGTACGCTTATTTGTTCGATCTACGCTGTTAGAAAAGGAAAGCGAGAACATGCAGCAAGAGATCATAATACCCTGTTTCTGAGGAGGCGTTCCACGCTGATTGTGTGGGCGGAGTCAGGCATACCACTGAGCCTTCCTCAGAGACAAGAGAGACGCTAACTAGCCGTGAGATGAGAGACTCGAACTACTTGAAGGCGTAGACGGCATTGATAAGCCAAAAAAGTAGAATGATCTCCAAAATCTCATCTTTACGAGGAAGTTCAATTCATAAATTTTGGTCCAAAAATGACAACTTTGAGTCAACTGAGACAAGACTTCAGAACTTTTGACAACCCAAAAGAAATCAGAACTTTTGACAACCCAAAAGAAAATGAAAAAAGAAACAAGTGTCTGCTCATGATGAAGGGCATATGCATCACTGATTAGTAATGGTTGGCAATTTTGTTTCAAAAAAGCTTCCTAAAGTAGATAGTAGGCGCTTTAGTTGCTAACAATTCGATAAAATAATTAATTTTTGGAAAGCACTGCAGGCGCAATTTGGCTTGAGAGGACAAGAAAGGCATTTGTCACTTTCATACCTTATTCTTCGACGCATTGAGACATCAAGTAGCGGACCTGGCAAAACTTGCTGAACCTATGAAATGAACAGGTGTCGGAAGTTTTGTAGATTACTTGCCATTTCATACTTGTCAGCCCTTGTAAAATAATGAGCAGGTCAATGAGAAGTAACGAGAGCGCAATCCCCTTCCTCCTCCCCCTCCCTCAGTCAAATTGCGCTGTATACCTTTTCCACATTCCAACAATACTGAAACCGATGAGCATTGCAATTCCGGCCCAATCCTGACGAGGGGGTGGCATTTTTTACTATTCATGGCTTCTTAGTTCCCGGTTACGATGTCTCGCCTCCGGCGAAACCTGTGAGGCTCTTGCTGAAGCTGAACAAAGTCGTCAAGCATCGTGATTTAAACCTAGTCAACCGAAAATGAGGCTGCCTAGAGAGTCGACAAGTCATTGGAAGTAGAAAAGTACAAAATCCCCCCCTCCGTCCCCATCGTCGAACTCTCCCAAGTTTACTTCTTACCGCGCCGGAAGAGTCACAACATGCATTTCTGAGCGCCGAAACGCATTTTTTCTTACAAAGAGGGCAGTTTCGATGCATGGTTTCCTTTTGAAAAAAAGTCCATGGAAACAAGAATTATTCGTGAGCACGAGCGCTGTCATCAAAAAACGACACTTTGGGCAAGATCTATGCCATCAAGCAACATCTGCTCATAGTGAATGCTCATATGAGTGGTATTTCAGCTCGGCACAGAGGCACACCTTGAAATTAGTGATGATCCTTCTTCCTTGTCACTTTACTGAGATCACGAAATGGCAGTCTCTGAGACTGCAGGTAGGACTACTTGGGCAAGGAAGGACTCTTGCGGATTGGTTGAGCGCGTGGTCTGACTCCGAGTTTATCTGAATTTCAGTAATACCGTGCAGAAAATGGCTTTTGCTCTTTCCAGTCTTCACACCAAAGCTCACTACTTGGTTCCGGTAAGAGTACAGAACGTGCGAATCCGGAACTCCTTATGTAAGGGAATCCAGTCTCAGCTACAGAAAACCCCTCTCAGCGGCAAGTATGGTTCATCGTGACCGAATTAACCTCATCCGCAGTCTATGTCTGACTATAAAACCTCCAAATTGCCTTGAATCAGGCACCCTCATATGTCAATGTATCTTTAATGAAGCCACGTCCTTAGAAAAGCAAGCAAAGAAAAAGTAAAGCTGAGCCAAGTAATTAGTAGCTGTTAGACCTTCAGGAGGACGCAGATACAAACTATTCAGAAAATCCAGGACCAGCAAAAACGAGTGCACTGAGGCTTCGAAGCCCTTAGGATACCATGAGCGCGATGACATTAGTTATTCGGACCATACCTGTTCCTCCGCTGCGGAATCCTTAGCGAGGGGGCGGGGAGCGTATTGCCCTGGAAGCAAGGAGGGGTCCGCGTTTACGCGTCGTGATCAAAAAAAAAGGTTTTTAGTTGTGACTATCATTAGATCCTATTTCAAAGTTCATGGTCCCCCTCGCTCGCCTCAACAGCAAGTTTGTGGAGGGAGGAGGGGAAATAATGATAGCAAAAAACTTCGGAAATTGTAGAAGTTGGGAAATCCAGGAAGCATGCGGAAGAGAAGGACAGATCGTACAAGTGGAGAATTATCCAAGTTTAACGGCAGACGGTCCCGATTCTGGCCACCGGCCAAAGCCAACTGAACAGATGTCGCGCGCGCGGGCAGCTGACCTCTGACCGCACTCCTAGTATAGTTAATAGTTAGAACAAGAAGCCACTATACTTGAGTAAAATAGCAACCGCGTTTTAATACCCGCCAAAATTTGCAATCAATAGAATTTTTTTTGAAGCCAAATACGACCCCTCCCCACTTCGTTTCCAGCAAGGAACGATCTTAAAGTTGCTAAGGCAAGCCATTTCGAAATATTCTTGCGCCGAAGGAACGCAGGCAAGCCACACTAGGCCAGCAAGCGAGGAAAGTATATTCGTTCCTTCTAAGGTCGGCCTACATCCATAAATAAGCGTAATTGTCAGAAAAAAATGGGTCGGTAATACTGGGTTCATAGTGCTTACCACTGCGTAAGCAATAGTGCTTCGTTTAACCCAGCTGAGCAATCACTATAAAAGAGCGCTGAAATCGACAATGAAATTGAAGAGGCGAGTGACCTAAAATGAGTCGGACTCGAGAGAGACGAGGGATGCGAGTAGTTGCTTTGAAAAAAAGGCAGGAAAAACAATCGAAAAAAGGAGCTCAAGTTTAGGTCAGGCGCTAATACCTAGGGAGGGGCATCGAAGGGACAAAAATTAAAGGACTCCTCGTGTAAAGTTGGGATCAACAGGGATGAAGAGCTCTGACCAAGGCACGAGAGGGAAAAATTCCTGAATGGGTTTGAGGTTCTTGAAAATCAAGCACACTTAGCAGTAAGCACATTGTTACCAAGGTAATCCTAGTCAAGGTACATCATCGTTGGGGATTCTCCAACAGGATAGGGGTCGTATTTGGTCGCTGTGGGAAGGCGGATCGTACTCGCCTTCTAGAATTCTGGGGGAGATTGTTGATTTTGTGGGTTGTCCTGCCCCATATGTACTATATACTCCCGGCTCGACAACGCTATGAAGTCGACGAGGACGGAACTAGGGGATTGACGCATCAAACCACTCCTTGCGGGGAAGAGGGGGGGGAGAGGAGGAGGTCGCATGGACTCGGTTAAAATTTCTAACCAGTGATGTGCCCTGATCCCAGTCTTGCCCAGGAGTCGTTCGAATGCTCCCACTCCCACTCGCAAAGCTATCACGCCTCAAGCCATGATTGCCTGCTGAAGATTGCTAAGCTACTAGAGGGCTGAAATATTTAATCAATATTTACTGAATTACCTTCCTGATTAACTTTGGAAGTTTTTGCCATTTAAAAAACCAACAAGCGATTGAGGCTATTAGAGGTTGTTAGAGAATTGCGTCAATCACGATAATAAGATAACTGGGAAAAGGACTTCACTAAAAGGAATGTTTTTGACTCGTTCAATCTCTATAAGCGGTATGAGCGCCTCTGCTGGGGTTATTATAACCTCTGGTAAGGGTATGGGAGCATCCCCCGCGGAATCGAGATCTCCATAATCCAGCCCATCAGGCATTTTGGGATTCTACAACCTTTTCAGTCTTTGCAGAATCGACAGTTCCCACCAGAATCTGCCAAAAATCGTCGCAAGGCGGAGCTTTCCACGCTACATAGTACAGTTGTTTCAAAGGCAGAACCCGCGATTATTCGCCATCTCAGATAGTGGATTAGGGGGTTCCATATAGACGACAAGGGGTTGAGTAACTCGACAGTGAAGAAAAAAAGCACAAAAAACATGCCACCTGCCCTAGATAGAACCCCATTTTGATCCCAGTTTGTACGTGCCCAATTAACTCTATCTCCCACACTACGCCCTCATACGCACAGCTGATTCACCGATAAGAACTCTACGATCGTACAAGTGACGATTTTCATGCTTTTTCGTCCTGCAATCTCGTTTTTCACTGAAAGCCGGGCATTGGAGGCGGAGTCTGGAGGCGGAGTCACTGGAAAGGAGGAACCACTGAAGTTATATTGCGCTATAGCGCCCCTACCTTAGAATTTTTTGCCGCGAAACCGGTACAAGGTTGTTCGTCGCGGACCACTCTAACCTCCTGACGCCATATTTTCAACTTCGATACCTGATCGCGGACCGTGCCTCAATGAGTCGAAGAGACATCGCCATCGGCTATTTGTGAAGAACCGGGTCTACAAACGCTAGACTATGTGATTACTGGACTACTAATGAATAAGAAAAAACAGTGGAAAAACGTTGCAAACACTCCAATAAGATCCAGACATGAATGAGAAAGGTAATTGGACGAGATGAACAGAGGACGAGTTCTTCGGAACTCATTGCCATCTCGGTGCGACTAGCACCCTTGGGCATAGTCACCAGATTCTCTCACGGATGGCATTTTTTTGAGATAAAATCTGTTCTGAGAATGTAAATATGGACGACCCCCCACTGTCAGGAACGATTCGAGGGTG